GCAATGCATGTGTATCACAGTATGTGTGACGGTCAGAGGATAGCTTATAGGTGTCACTTCTATCATGTTGAGTCCCTGGAATCAAACTCAGGTCTTTAAGCTTAGTAACAAGTACTTTTATCCACTGCCCACCCCCCACCCCTCGCATCTTTTTAATCTGGGTTGTGGTACTGAACTCAACTCTACTTATGTTTGTGTGGCAAGCACTTTATCAACTGAGTCATCTCCCCAGCCCTATTCCTTATATATATATATATTTTTAAATGTGTATGCGTGTATTGCCTGCATGTAGGTAAGTGCACCTGTGTCATGCAATGCCTGAGAAGAAAAGAAGAGGCCATCGGATTCCCTGGAACTGGAGTTATAGACAGTTGTTAGTTGCCATGTGGGTGCTGGTATTCGAACCTGGGTCTTCTGCAAGAACAACCAGTGTTCTTAACTGCTGAGCCATCTCTCCAGCCCTCCTTGTATTCATTTTTACATTAGTATAAATGGAATTATTGCCTAAGGTGTTTTCTGGGTTGACCATTAATCATGTAAAGAAGAGATACAACTGATTTTTTTTTTTTTTTTTTTGAGACAGAGTCTCACTATGTAGCCTGGCTGGCCTGGAACTTGCTAGATAGACCAGGCTAGCATCACTCATTGAGATCCGCCTGCCTCTGCTTCCTGAGTGCTAGGGTTAAAGGTGTATATCACCACGTCTGGCAAGATATTTCTTTTTTGATGTCTAATTTCCTGCTGTAAATCACTAGTCTATTTTGTTTAGACTTTTATTCATCTCAATGTCCCTTTTCACTTTAATCTACTGGTGATTTGTGATTGTAAAATTTAATTTCTATACATTTGTGTACTTCCAAATTTTCCTTTTGTTATTTTTAATTTTATTCCAGTTTGTCCAGAGAACATTCTTTTCATGAATTCACTTTTTTATTTATGCATTAAAAATTTTTTATATGTGAATGTTATACCTGCATGTGTCCAAGTGCACCTGTATACGTGCCCTCAGGACAGAGAGCAATGGATCCTCTGGAACTAGAGTTACAGATGGTTGTTGGCTGCCATGTGGGTGCTGAGATTTGAACCCAGGTCTTCTGCAAGAACAGTTAGTGCTTTTAACCACTAACTATCCTGGAACTTACTATGTAGACCACAATGACCTCAATCTCTCACAGAGATCCACCTGCCACTGCCTTTGGAGTGCTGGGATTAAAGGCATATGCCACTATGCTCCAATGAGTTCACTTTTTAAAATGTTAATGAGAACTGGGAGCCTGAGACATGGCTGTCTTGGAGTGTGCCTGATGACCAATAGAGAAGATTGGTGTTTTTTTAAAATATTTTATTATTTTTATTTTGTGTGTGAGTGTATTGCCTGCATGTATGTGAGCGCACTCATGTCATGCAATGCCTCAGAGGTCAGAAGAGGGCTTTGGATTCCCCTGGAACTGGAGTTAAGGATCCCATGTGGGTGCTGGGAATTGAATGGGGTCCTCTGCAAGAGCAGTCAGTGCTCTTAACTGCTAAGCCATCTCTCCAGACCCTAGAGATTGTTTAATGCAATACTTGATAAATGTCTTTTAGGTGTTGTTGATTTATGATGTAGTTCAATTTTTGTAATTTTTGAGGCAAGGTTTTGGTTAGCCAGGCTGGCCTGGAACTCATGGAGCCAAGGATGACCTTGAATGCCTGATCCTCCTGCCTCCACTTTGAGATTACAGGGTGGACCACCATGCCCAGCTTTCAAGAAATGTACGACTTGTGTGCTAAAAATTATAAAAAACATTGAAAGAAATTATAATAAATATACTTCATGGATTGGATGAAAATATTGTTAGGATGGAAATGATAGGAGTTCATTATGGTTCAAATGTGTCCCCCAAAGTTGGAAACTTAATCCCCTCTACAACAGTGGTGAGAGCTGGGATGTTTAAGGTGACTAAATACCTCTGTCATTGCAGGAATGTTATCATGTGAATGGATTTTTATAAGCACAGATTTGGCCCTTGTCTCTTGCCCCTCCATCTATCGATATGGAGATGCAGCATGAGGCCCCTCACCAGGGGAGCGAGATGAGTAAGGACACTGTGCAGTGGCTGTGGGTGTCCCAAGAAGGCAGTGCTACAGAGGTGGCTTCACCCTGTCAGCACTGGGGAGCCAAGGGCATTGAGATGCTGTATATGAGAGAGAACTGCAGACATTCCAAGAAAAAGGATACAGAGAAATCTGGGTTAGGATGAGAGCCTGAGTTGTAATAAGGCGAATTTGAAAGCGAGACTCCACTGGAGGCTTCCGTGCTTGATAATGGAACTGGGAAATGGTGTTTGCTGACTGAACGTGAAAAAATTTAGTTTCCTGCAATAGGCAAGTTCCTAGAGTTTGAAAGCAGGAGAGGAAAGCGGGCTACTATTTAATGGGCAGGAATTTTTATTGGGGAAGCTGAAGAACTTTGGAGTACCATGATGGTTATTCAACATCATGACTGGATTGAGTACCAGTGTGCATGAGGCCCTAGGCTCAATCCCCAGTACCACAAAATCAATTAAAATAAAATGGTCATGACAAATACTGCATCTTCAAGAAGCAGACTGTTCCCTAAAAGCTGAACATTATGCCATTTAATGCCAAGAGCAGTATCCTCACCCAAAGCATCCAGGAGAGAGCGTCCCAGGACCACCTGTACTCCAGGCAGTGTAGGATGAGGGAGAAGGTCAAGAGCTGGGTTCAAGATAAGTCTATTGTACCCCTGGCAGTGCAGCCCTCCTGGTCCACAGGTGGAAGAGCTCCAGGAGGGCTCACCCCTGCTGGGGTCTTGGTAACTGCTGTCTCTTGCAACCCCAGGGCAGCAGCCAAGTCAGGGGGGCTTCCAAAGCCCCACTGGGCAGTTAGCAGCTATGCAAATTGGGTCTGTGGGGAGGGAAAATAACAGCAACACTGCCCCCTCATGGAAATCGAGGCCAGCATCCTGGCAATCCTAGTACATTTTATCAGTCGTCCTCTTAATCCAACTCTAGTTTCTCCAGTATACAATACAAAACCCAGTCCTTTGACACCAGGACCCAGTAAGGGGCTCTTTATGGATTATGAAAGCAAGAGGATTGGCTGCGAATACCTGAAATACAGGAAAATGCAGACATAATTACCTGTAAGTGAACGAGGAAGAAAGCCATCCTTACACTGAAGCGGAAGGAATATCAGACGCCAAAACTCGCTGACAAAATCTTAACAGGGAAAGGACATTTAACCTCAAAATATCTCCTCACAATCCACTAATCACAAGGAGGAAGTTTGTTGGTATGGAGAAATTACAGATGGATTCCAGGGCTCAAAGTAAACAAAAACCTAACAAACTGAAATTCTCTCAACGTGATCCATTAAGAAGGCAGTATCATGTCTGTGTATTCCTGCAGGAAACATCAAAGCCCAAACTGAAGGATGTTCTAATCAACAATTTTCCTATTTCCATACCATGAGTCATGAAAAGGAAGCTGAAGGGGCATGAAAACTAGATGCAGTGGTGCTGGACTTGGCAGGAAAACTAGCCACAAAGTAAGTTATTGGGATGTTAAATCTTGATTATGGACTAGATAAAATAGCATTATCAATTTAACTTCCTGATTATGTGAATTGTCCTGTGGCTACATGTGCTGAGAGAATTTTCGATGTGAGAGGGGACTAGGCAATATCTACATGCGTTTTCAAAAGGTCCCAATGAGCCGCCAAAGTTCAGTCCCACCAAAGCTGAGTTTATTGGGGTTACTTACAGAGCATGGGTGAAGGGCTACTGACAGAAACACAAGTAACCTCTGCCCTGGAAAGTCTACCCAGCATAGATGGAGCCCCTTTCCCCTCAGCATGCCCCAGCCTAGATCCAGTAGCCCTCCCCAATGATGCCAAGTACAATTAGGGCAGAATTGATTAAAACTGGTTGGGAGGAGTGGCTATACTCGGGTGAGGGTACAGTGCCCTCCCATTCTGCTCCTAAAAATGGACTAGCAACAGTCAACAAGCCCAGCTGGGATTATCTTTTGCAAGCAGACACAGCTGAACTCATTAAGGTAACTGGAGGGCAGTCCTGTACATCATGTAACAGATCTTAGTAAATTTAACACACTGAAATACCTAAGGGGCAAATGGTCAAACTTAAACTTCAGTGGATCAGAAAAATACAAACACACAAAGTAACTAGGGTAAAATGTGGGTAATGAGTCTGTGTGAATATCCCTATCATAACCGCCAGTCCTCAACCAGGCATAGTGGTACACACCTTTAGTCCAGCACTTGGCAGGCTGTCTGGGACTACAGGGAGACCCTGTCTTAAAAAAGCCCAAAGACATTAAAAACAAAACCCCGCCAGTCCTCCAGCACCCATAGGTGTATGTGCATCAGCAGCACACTTCTTGTGCTTGATGGATGTATAAGGATCTATACAGAAGAGCTCTGAAGCTAGCCTGACGGGTTCAAACTGCCACTTCTTTGCCATATAAGAACTTAGCCCAGGCTTGCCAGGAATAGCTACTTTGAGAATTTTCCCCTATTCTCAAAAGCACACACCAGCCCAGTCCCTCAGTCTCAGCTTCAGAAAAAAACAGGGCAGAGTGAACTCTGATTCCTATGAAAATCAACAGAAATGTCCCATCGTTGTCACCAGCCCACTAATCTTAGGCTTTGCTGTATAAAGCTCAGTGGTACTTGCCTAGCATTCACAAGGACCTGAGATGGATTCCCAGCAGAGCAGAAAAAAATGCTTTACACCCACCATACTTCCCACCAGTAAAATACAGCCTTGGTGGACACCACTGTCCTCAAGTTGAGTGTATTCAGAAGACCCGGGACACATATCCTGGCCTGTTCTTGGGTATACAGGAGCCATCTAACTTGTAAAGGCACTATGCTGATTCAGTATGGACCACAGGATTATGGGGTCCTCTAATCCCAGGCAATGGCCAGGAGAGTGAGCCATCCCACCAACACCCAACAGCAAGGATGACACAGGCAAAGTTGTTGTCCCCAGATTTATTGCAATATTAAAGAATAGCAGAAAAGATTCAAACAGCTCCACGTGGTGTTTTGAAATTCATCCCCACTGTAGGCTGAGTGACCTGCAGGTTGGAGAGACTGCCAAAGTCCTGCAACAACAAGATGGATTCACAGTGAGTGAGCAGGTCAGGGGAGATCTTTGGTCAGCCCCTGCTAGCCTCCACCAGCCTGGGGTTAGGCAGAAACCATCTTTTTCCTGTGCCCAGAACCAAAGTCTGGATCAGGACCCCTCTCCAGGAATCTTTCTTCTGCACACTTGCTAACACAACCGTCTAGACTCACCCAACTTGCCAGGCGGCTTTTCCCCTTGCTGCCACAACCCTCTACTTTTCAAAAGCAGTGCATCTCCATTTTGGCACAGCCAAAATGCAGGACTTGATATTTTGATGGAGAAGGGATTCTGGGCACTGAATTAAGTATAGCAGCTCCCCTGGCCTCATCAGACACCTCCAGGTATCCCTCAGATGTGACAAACCAAATGAGGCTCAATCAACCAAATGTCCTCTGACAAAACCTATCTATCCCTCCCTTTGAGAATACATTTGGCCCTCCATACTCATATTCAATGAACTTTCAATTAAATACACAAATGCGCAAAAAAATGTGATTTACAAAGTACTTTGTATCATATAAGGTACTATGTAAAGCAGGCGTTTGGGGGGTAGTAGATGAAGGGTCTCTGAAGTATTAAGAGCCTATACAGAATCACTGTCTTTCCACAACTACTTTGTCAACAGTGATCACAAATCCATTCAACATTCAAGAGGGGACCAGATGTGCAGGGTACCAAACGAAGTAGAGGGAAGTTCAGACCAGGCCCGTCCCTAAGCAGTCCCAGCACCCAAGGGACCCACCATACACCTGGAACCCAATGTCCTATGTTTCTCAAAAGCCCATTTTGGGGGAGAAACTGCCAAGCTGTGCCTAGAACAGAAGGAAAAGGCCAGCAGTAAGCTTTGGCTGCCACACCACTGACTTTTCAGAAGCTGGGTATAGGTATCAGAGATCTTATTTTTAATGACTCAAAAACTACAAGAGGGAAAAATTGAAACTGTTCAAAACTAACAGCAAGCTGGAAGCCCATGTTGCCTTCACCATGTTATGTAATGGACTAGGACAAGCCACCAAAGAGAAACCTCATCAGCCCACACAGAAGACACCTGTGACCCACCCTAAGCAGTTCCTGATACTAAGCAGCCACAGAAACTAAGAAAATGCAAAGAGCCCACACAGGAATGTCATTTGAGAGATTTGATGATCTTGTGGCAAGACATTTCAAAGCACACCTTGCACAGATTCAACTATTTTAAAACCAGATAGCAGAAACTGATGGGCTCCTGACCAGGACAGCCCTACTCACCAGAAGCTTCAGCATTTCCTTAGTGTCAGGATCCACCTCAATGATCTCCTGATCCAGGGCTGAGACCTAGAAGGGAAAGAAGCAAATTATGAGTTATCCTTCACCTCCCCTGCCCCCATACACCTTCCCCACCCTTCTGAGATAAGATTTGCCTGCCTCAGCCTCCCCAGTGCTGGGATTAAAAGTGTGTACCACCACACCCAGCATACTACTATTTTTGATAGGGCATTGCTATATTATATAGTCCAGGCTAGCCTCAAACTAGTGCTTCTCCAGCTGCAGCCTCTTAAGAGATTACTGGAATGTCCTTACAGTTGGCTCCCCTGGATTATTAATTTGGGGGTGGGGGAAGGGTCTCACTATTACAGCCCTAGCTGACCTCAAAACTCAAGAGATATCTGCCTGCCTGCCCTCAGATTTGTGGGAGTGTGCAGGGTCGAGTAAAGTTATGAAGGCCCAATGTGGGGGAGTCCATGTGTGAAACAAACGCCTGTTTTTATTTTCTCATTCCCAAACTATCTATTGGGCATTCAGAACGCCTTAGGATTGGGTTTACACTACGGAAGTACCATGTTCAGGCTACTCAAACCAGGACACATGCTCAGAAGGGTCTCATGTGGACAAGGGCAGAGAGAGGCTAACCAATAGGCAGGTAGCCTACAGGCACCCAGCTAGTCAAGAGGGAGGTGTTTCCACCAGACATCAGACCCCCACTACGTTCTTAGGAACCTCTGTACCACCTGGACAAGAGCCACACAGATCTAGAAAAAAGACCCACAAAGCTTACCTCAGGAACATAATTATCTCTCCTCTCTCTCTCCTCCTCCTGCAACTTGATGGAGATACCTCTCACAGGACCTCTCTGAATGCGCTTCATCAGATGCGTAACATAGCTACAAGTATACACGCCCAGGGAGAACAGGGAAAACACACATCAACGTCCGCCGGTACCCAGGACATCTGGGTAGACAGGAGTTCCACTCCTTTTCTGCTCACCCTTGGAGGGCGTCCCACACTCAACACACAGCCAGCCACTTCCCTAAGCAGTCCTGGCACTTTGGTTTCTCACACTCCTTCAAGATTACCAAATCCTCTCACTGACACTGCACGTGCCACCTTGGCTAATACTGTACTTAACCTTAGAGATCCCTGCCAACTTTTGGTGCAATATGGCACTAATGGAATCCCGGCAAACCGCCGAACTCCGGAAAGGCCAGGGCCCAGGCAACCACGCAGGCTCTCCCGATAGAGGCTCCGCCAGCCCGCGAGGCCTCCACTCACCCTGCTATCTTGTTGCGGAGCTTCTTGCTGGGGATAATGGCGATCTCCTCACACACACGCTTGTTGGTGTGGAAGTCGTTTCCCAGGCGCGTGTAGTATTTCTCGATGATGACCCGGGCCGCCTTCTTCACGGTTTTGGTGCGAACGCGGCCCTGAGGGTGGACAATACAAGGTCACTGTGGAGCCGGTCCGCCTTGGCCCGCGCGGGGCTCGCAGGCTGGCCCGACCCTGGAGCAAGAAGCGCTCCGGGGGAGGGGGGCGCCCGCGCTGCGAGAGGCCGACAGGAGGCCGCGTCAGCCGGTCCCAGAGCCTCCCACTGCGGGCTTGGGGCCGCCGCGGGCCGAGGATGGAGGCCGATTGAAGGGGCTAGGCTTCGGACCCAGTCACCTACCATGTTGGCGGGTCCTGCTTAAAGAGGAAATAGGAAGCACAAGAGAGGCCTATAAAGCGCAGGCCGGAAAGCCGCTTCCGCTCAGCCGAGGCCCAGCGAAGCTCGAGACGTACCACAGCGGCCCCTGCCGGCGTGGCGCGGAAGTGGGGGCTGTACTCCCGGCGGTGGGCCGGGCGAATGTCTGCGCGTGCGCGCGTGCTGTGGCGCCTTCCAGGGTAGTGCTCACCCGCTGAACCCTGGAAAGGTAACCTCTCCTCTCTCGGCTTCTGTGTGCGCACGACAACGCTGAGGAACAAAGAAAAAGACTTCCAAATTTTAAGAGTGCACGAAGCCGCGCTATGGAAAGGCGAGGAGGTAGAGGATGGCTCCAGGAGTTTGTTATGTCTCACTTGTAGAGACATAGGTGTAGAGACTGACTTAGAGGTGTTGGTTCAACCGTCACCTTGCCAGTCTATACATACTATTACCGGAGAGCGGCTCTTATATTTCTTAGCATATGTCACATGACTTGTCTTTTCTCAACTAGGGATGAGCTAAAAGGGCTAACTCCAGTTCTTAAACAGTGGCTGGGTTCACAATAAGCGCTCATTTAAGTGAACTAAGGTCTCTGTTTACCTGCACTGCTCCCAACAAGTGAAAACACTCTCCAAACCCTGAGCTTTAGGCTGTTTTTCCCTTGTACTCTTGGGCTCTTAAGCCTGTTCCCATTGGCCTCATCAGCCTAGGGAGGGCCCTTGCGGCCTTTCTCTAGCTCGGATTCCTTAGGATGGAGTACTAGACCCCACCTGACGTAAGGAAAGTCTAGGCTGGCCAAGTTGGATATATTAAGGGGGCCGAGGCTGTGCAACATTCCTGTCAACTGATGACATATGAACAGCTGAAGGTAGTGCATAGAGGGAAGAGAGATGTCAAGATCTATAGAACCCTAGAATAAGAGATCAAAGGGTCAGAATCAACAAATCAGCAGTGAGTGATGGCAAACTTTAATCCCAGCACCTGAGGCAGAGGCAGAGGCAGGTGGATCTCTCAGTTCCAGGCCAGCCTGCTGTACATAGCTAGTTCCAGGCCATCTGTGCTTACAGGGAAACCCTGTCTCAAAAAACAAAGCAAGACAAGTTGGGCATGGTGGCACATGCCTTTAATCCCAGCACTTGAGAGGCAGAGGCAGGTGGATCTGAGTTTGAGGCCAACCTGGTTTTTACATAGTGAGTTCCAGGCCAGCTGGGGCTACAAGGAGACCCTGTCCCAAAAAGACCAAAAAAATAAAAAGTCTCCCGAGGACTGCAGGCCCCAAGCAGAAGGCTCGGCTTTATAGTCTTGCAGGAGGGGACTCCCCTATTCTCCCCAATAGTGAGTTTTTGCACCTTACAGAGGGATACTACAGTATGCAGACTGCCTCTGCTTCAGACTTCAGACTAAATTAAGTCTCCCAAAGGATAAGTTGAACAGGCCAGGTCAAAACTACCTGAAAAGATGTCATAAAGCATTGGTGCCTATGACAGACTCTAGTGAACGGACTCTCAAAAAAACCAATAAGGCCAGACATGGTAGCCCACACCTTTAATCCCAGCACTTGGAGACAGAGGTGGGTGGGTATCTCTGTTGATTTCAAGGCCAGCCTGGTCTACACATCAAGTTCCAGGTTAGCCAAGGATAGTTGAGACCCTGTCTTTAAAAAAAATGGGACGGGGGAGATGGCTTGGCCATTAAGATGGTTGCTCTTGCAAAGGACCCTGGTTCAAGTCCCAGCACCCACATAGCAGCTAACTCCAGTTCTAACACTCATACACATAAAATTAAAGTTTTAAAGTTGACAAAAAGTTAAAACATGGAAATTCCACTTTCTCAAAAAGAAACTGTATCAATACCAGTGAGTCCAACAGGAAGAGGAAACATGCCAGGGCTTCAGAAAAGCAGAAAACAGGTGCTCCGGACACCTGGTATGTGCCGCTGGCATTCTTGGGGCTGCATTTGAAGGCTGGGAGGAGCCCCAAGAAACTGAAATGTGTAGGTTTCTTGTATTTAGGCTAGAAACACTCAGCTACTGCAGAGGCATCTCCAGAGTACATTTGGCCATGGAAGTGACCAACAAGTTAGGGCAGGTGTCCCACACAGTTATACCATCATCTTGAGCAGGAAACCCATCTCAGAGAATCTAAGGAAAATTTTTTTTCTTTAGAATCGTGTTAGCCTATTACCCAGTTGCTACCATATACCCCAGACAAAAAGACAAAAACCATAACTCTGCTGCAACGTGTTTATTATGTGCCAAAAAAACTACACCACAGCTTACTCCACACATCTGTAGGAGAGTGCAGTCTTGCCTGCATATACTACAATGAGGTAGAGACTTCACACACAGCTTCACAAAACCCACAGAGTAGCTGGGATATGCAACAATGCAACATCAGCTCAGCAAGAGGGAAGAAGGGGGTTATGACACTGATTCTTTGGCACACAGCATCCCTAAGAGGGGCAAGTAGTAATTAAATTAAAAAGAAAAAAAAGAGTCAAGTTTTTGAATTCCAGTAGCATTTAGTCAACTTCAACTGTTGATTCATACATTCTTCAAATAAAAGGAAGGGTACTTGCCCCCTCTAAGAGAAAGGGCTCCTGTGAGCCTTCACCTGCCCCCCACCAAAAAGCAGCCCTTTTATTTTTTTTTAGCTCAGTTACAAAAGAAAGTCCTGTGACTGTGATTAAAAACTTCTATCAACCCCCCCCCACATAAGTGCAACATAAGAAGGTGCAGTAAACCATTTAAAACTATGTACAGCAGCCGCTCATACACCATTTTTTTCCGGTCCAGTTTCAAATAAAACAATTTTTTTCCTTGGTTGCAAATGCTTTGATTTGCAACTGTGAGAAACAGTGACCAGCAGTCCCCCAGACACAAATTTGCTATAATGTTAAAAGCTGCCAGGAAAGAAAAAAAAAATCTATTGTTTCAAACGACTTAAAAACTGTTTTAAGGAGTGTAAAAAGGAACTGGTAAAAACCCTCGAGCGTAAAATATGAAATATGATTTGGTTTAAATGAAGAGCAAAGTCTCCTTGTTGGTTACAGTAAAAAACACCAGCTGAACACTCAATTTATGCCGTTCAGGTGGGGGTTAAATAAATGGAAAGGCACTGTATGGCAACTGCAAGAATGAAACCAATGAGACCTGTGCGGCATCACCATCAGTATTGCAAGGAATGTAAAAAAGCGCTTTAATAAATAAACCTAGATGTAGGCATCTGTGTCAATACCTTCTGGACACACAGTTTTTTTCTCTTTTCATCTGCAAAATGAGGAACTAAAATCTGGGAAAACTACAGCGTCACTTGAGGGTGAGCCAGAGGGTCCTTGTCTGGCACACCCCCTGAAAACAAAACCTGACAAAACTCATTGTGCATTAATTAGTGCAGAAACAAAGACAGATTCAGCGAGTGCAAAGGTGACTACAATTTTCCCTTGTCCTCGGGAAGCCAGATCCTTGGGCACCAGTGGCAGGATGGTACAGGCTGCTGCCTGACCTGCCAGCCTTGGGTGCCACAGGCCACTGGGTAAGGCCAGCTTCTTTAGCTGGTATCTCGGTTCTTCTGGTTTCGCATCAGGGGACTGTGGTGGCGCAGGCCTTCCATGCTGTGCCGCCAGTGCCAGCAGCTTCGGCAGAAGTACTTGAAGCAGACCTAAGAGGGGAACATAAAGGGGAGAGACCATGGCTGTGTTAGCACCAGGTATAAAGAGGCTGCTTGTTCTGCTTGAAGAGGAAACGTGGGGCTAAAAGAGACAGTCCCTGGCAGCTCTCTCACCCTAACAAAGGACTGACTATGGCAAATCCAGTCTTGTTTCCCTGGGTACCCTTAAATAATCACTTTAGGTTCCTAGTTTGTACACAGGCCACACACCTTCCCTTATACCCTCTCATCCCTCACTAGAAGTGCTCTTCTATTCCCTTGCCCTTCTCACCTCCTACAGAGCAGCTGTAGGAGGCTGCCAACACAGAAGAATGTCTGAAGAACTGGCTGCAGATCCTAATACTAGCAGATATGCCTTTCTCTTCCCAGTGAGAAATAAAAAGATTTGCTGGCTGGGTAACCCTAGGCACGTCACCAACCTCTGAGCAAATATGCCAAAATGAGAAGTCCCTTTGAAAGATACTAATCCATAAAAGCTGATTTAGAAACACACTTGTTTTCAGGCTTTACCAGGCTATCTAAACTTACTCTTTCACTTGTATGAGAAACATTAAATATTAGTCTTTTCTTTCAAACCCTGTAAAACCTTTGGTTTTATGTCAAGGAATTCTAATCTTTTAATCTCTCCCACACCCTATAAAACTTTTTTTCACAAAAAGGCCCTGATACATTTGTGAACCTGATGGCCTCCAACAATAGAGCCCCTTCACCCTCTTTGGCCAACCCTCTTTTCCCCTCCTTTGCCCATCTTTTAATCTAGCCAACAAGGAAAGATTGTGAGGTCTGACCCCATGCCAATGGAGAAAAGACACAGTACTCTTATGTTAGGGATAAAAACCTACCAGACTACTAGGTCCGGTATTGTTGGATCTGACTAACCCCCTCCCGCCTCCCGCAAAAAAAAATGTACCCTTTTGCAAAGGAAAAGCTTCCTTGCTGAATTACTTCTGAAATATTTCAATGTGTTCTTTGTGTGGTATTGATAGGGTCCCTGGACCTCAGGTTTTAACACTTAGGAGACTGTGTTTGAATACTATCTACAGACTCCATATGAATAACAGCATCACTGTTAAACTAAGTATGGATGGACTTCTAGAGTCCTAAGGGTTCCCAGATAGCCCACAGGACTCCTCAAAATGTTCAATGTTGCCAGCACAAAAAGCTCCCATCCCTAGCTGTCAACTGAGCTGACAGTTGATAGCTTGATGATTACTTCAAGCTTTTAAGGCCATCTTGGTTACATAGGGAGTTGCAGGACATCCAGGACTACACAGTAATAGTCTGTCTCAAAAACCCAACACAAAAAGCACCCACCATCAATAATGCCATACTCTGTGACAGCCCAGGAAGGGAAAGGTAAAAAATTCAAGGAGCATCCCTACCCAAAGAGCTGTGGATCAACATACTTATATTGTGTCCTCTGAGTGCTGTCTCCTATATGTTCTCAGACACTATAAACACCTCAGAACTCTAACATTCAATATCAAAAATGTGCCTTTTTTTTTCTTTTTGGTCTTTGAGACAGGGTCTTTGTGTAGCCACAACTGGCCTGTAATTCACTATGTAGACCAGGCTGGCCTTGATCTTCCAGAGATTCACCTGTCTCCCAAGTGCTGGGATTAAAGACTTGCACCACCATGCCCAGCTCCGTAATTTTTAATTGTTACAGAGACTTTATAGACATCTCTAGTTCCTAGGAAGACTCACCTGATCTCGACAAAAGAAAGGACCAGGCTGTGAACTGCAGATATGACAGAGAGAATCTTCTAGGTAGGGGTCAATCTGAACCTGTGGAACAGCAGCAGAGGAGAATGAAGTGGCTCTACAGGCCAAATAAGCTATATGGGCACATTATTGGTCACACACAGGAACGTAGGATGTTTGTTTTAAAGAAGGCTAGACAGGCTGGGCCAGGGCCTAACAGGGATCCTCGAGAACAGACTCACACCATGCTAGGGCTGGTTGCCTCTACCATTCAGTCAACTACACTCCTTACTAATACCTGCCCTTCTCAGCAAAATGAGCCTTGGCTCTCAATCAATAATCAGCAGCAGGGAAGTGGTCAGAGGAGTCAGTTAACCAGGATAAAGGAATGTAAGGCTACTTAGCAATGCCAGACCAATATGATGAGTGACTCCCCACTCATCCCCTCACTCAGTCATTCAACAGTCTAGGCTCCTTTGCCCACTAGCACCAAGGCCACCTCCAACCCTGAACTCATGTCAATTCTGAAGTTTGGCTCATTTCTCTAGTCTTGGGCTTGTCCTGGGTAGTCCAAGCCCCCTTCAAAGTAAGGCATAAACCAGTCTACTCACTTTCTTGGTAAACTTGGTGGTTTTGATCTCCACAAAAGCTGCACTGACCGCTTTCAGGTAACTACGTTGGTTATTGAAAGTCACACGACCAGATCCTTGGGAAAAAACGGGTACAAGCTTATATTCTGGTCAAATTCTCCTCAATTCTCTTCAACATGCAGGAAGCCCTGTTTCTACACCAGTACTGTCTAACGCAAATATAAGTTTTTATGTAATTTCTAATTTAGTAGGAGTCACAATAAAGTAAAAAGCAATGGAATTTTAATATATTTAACCCGTGTGTTCAAAACCTTTTTACACATGGGAAAAGCCACGAATACTCAATAGCAACATTCTACTGGTGGCTACCACCTTCAACAGTATAATCAAACCAAGTTGGTGCAAACCATTTAGGAAGGAGGGAAGGGAAGGAAAGGGGATCCTTCTGTTCATGTAGGCACATAAGGCTAAAGGGTTCAGGGTGGGAACTCAGGCAGACCAATACCTCTCTGAAGAAAGGCATAGACATCAAACCCTGCCTAGCCAAGGGTACCCTGGAGGACTTAGGAATTAACAGGAGAGCAGGAAGAAGCCCCATCTTGCCAAATGCCGCCTCCATCCCTGCAGCCTCTGAAGTCCTTGTTCTCAGTCTGCAGCTTAGCACTGATGAGCACACAGTGCTCCTTCCTGACCAGATTCAGTGTGGGTGGGCAGAATAAGCATCTGGGGAGGTGGGTTAGCTCTATCTTGATCAGAGTTCAGGCTCTGCTCCACTCTAAACCTAGCCACTGAGATTATTGTACCATGTCTGGAACTGACCTCTCTCAGAAGGGTTAAGTCAGTAATCAGGTCCACAGACTACCTTAAGCTGGAGTAGGTCACCATAACTGCACTGTTTCTTGAGTCACCCAGAAAGCACTCCTTTGACCTGACCTTGTCTCTGACTCTAGACAACACTAAAGCTTTTTAAAAAGGAATCTGGGAAAGTTTTCAGTGCAGTGTGGTTTTTTAATGCAATACTACTACTATTTGTCCCAAACTGGTTTGGCTGCGACTTTGAATTTCTGACCAAGTTCTTCCTCATTCTCACCAATCTTATCATAGATCCTAAAGTCATCTCCTCCCTACCCGCTCCCCACCCCAGAGTAGGAAGTAGGAAAAGGTGGTTAGATGCAGAGGGGTCAGTACTAGTACCCCTCTAGGAAAAGATGCTATGCCACCGGTAAGTGCTGCTCTGCAAACCAAGGTCAGTCTATCTCTCCATTCCCAAGAAGAAGTACCACAATCTTAAATGTACTCCCAGGGGGTACCCATCCTTTCCATACAGAAGTAGGACACTCACCAATGGGATACTTGTGCTTATCTGTGTCAATCCCAGCATACACCACTCCACCAAATAGGTCATTCAAGATGGCAGCCAGAGCCTCAGCATTGAGCATCCCATGCAAGGCACCAACAAACACCGTCCTGCTGGGGTCCAGCCTCTGAGATGGGCTCCGGACAAAGTTGCTGTCAGCCAAGACCCAAGGGATTACCTGCACCTGAAAATCCCCCAAAGGTATATCAGCCCTGGCAGCTGCAGGGAGGGGAGAGACTCTCTAGTATGGTAGGAAACATACTCTAGATATTCAACTGAAGCCTGTGTAGGGGTGAAAACGGATTGTCCACCCATCTCAGGCACACAAGCTTCAAATTTGACACTTTTACCCAGTACAACTTGAGTTGGATTTTTATGAGTTCACAGGTCCAAAATAGCCAAAAGCAGGTAGAGAAGAACTCACTCATCCTGGAGAGTAAGCAAAAAAGTACCAAGATCCCATAACTCCAACCTAGGGTCACAGGCACCAACAGATCATGAGTTCTCAAGAAAGAAACAAGAATTCTTAAGAATGGTAGGATTCAGAGCAAATAAAAGCTAGGAGCTCAAGGACAGGGGGGTGGGAATGCTTATGGTATTAGTGAGATGGTTACTGGTCTAACCAGTGCCAGGAAGAATGGACGTAACTAGAGAGAGGGTACATGGAGAGTCATGCACAGAGAGGTGTTACAGAGCTAAGTAACATTAGAGCAAGAGCTGACCACATCCTCTGCCTCTGAATTTCCTGACCTCAGAATAAAACCTGGCATAGCAGGTAGAGGAGTCTACAATGAAGCAGGTTTACAGATGCCAGTAGCTATTTTGGGAAAACTACTCTGTGAAGATCTTTAAATAATGTTTTGAAGCAGGAAGAGAACAGAGACAGAAACCAAGGAAGTAAAAGCAGTAGTTCAAAGGATAGGTGATTAAGACCTAGACAAAGCTGGTGGCAGTGGGCATAGACAGGCCATGACTAATTAATTGTTCAACTAAAGCATGCAGAAGTCAAGATTGCCCAAGCATGGTAGGCAATCAAGAAAGAATCAGGAGATGGGATCTGAACCTATAGGACCTGAAGATGAGAGAGCCTAAGACAAGATCCCAGGGGAAGCCACTCCCTAAAAGATGAAGAAACCTACTTTGTACACAGAGCAATCTGGGACATACAAAAGGGTAACCCCACAAGAAGGTAGGGCCCAGGTAGGACAAGAAACTAAATGGGTGAATCTGAGTCTGAAGGCAAGAGTAGAATCACAAAATAAGCATTAATTCAAGACAGAAAAGACAGTGAGAGAGTATTCATTATACTGATGATGGTAGTCAGGAGCACACAAAAGAAAAATAAAGAAGAGCTGGTACAGCCTACAGTCAGTGCATCAGATATTAAATCCCGAAAGATATTAAGGAGGGGATGGGGGATGGGAAGGTGTCAACCAGGAGCACTAGGGGGACTGACTGTGGTATACATATGATAGTCTCATGTGTGAAAGTAGGGACCAAATGAGGAAAGAGCATGGTAACTAATCTCAGATATGAGTTCCTTCTTACTGCCAGAGTGCCATACAGCAAATAAGGAGAGATGGCAGGGGAACTGTGGGTCACTGTGGGTAGCCAGAGAATGAACTTGCTCTGTCACTAACACTGAACAAGAGTAACACAGGAAATATCTATAAAACAAAGCCAGATTAATGATCATTTAAACGTGATGTAAGGCCAGGCGTGGTGGTGCACGCCTTTAATCCCAGCTTTTGGGAGGCAGAGGCAGGCAGATCTCTGTGAGTTCAAGGCCAGCCTGGTCTAGATAGTGAGTTCCAGGACAGCTGGGGCTATAGGGAGACCCTGTCTCAAAAAGACTCAAAAAAATGTGATGTAAGATAATAATTTTGTTTGTTTTTGAGACAGTCTCAGTACATATCCTTGGCTAGCCCAGAACTCCATATGTAGACCAGGCAAGCCTTGAACTCAAGAGATCCACCTGCCTCTCCTTCCAAGTGCTAGGACTGCTGGGATTAAAGGTCATGCCAGGCACAAGATTCAGATTTTTTAAAAACCAGATATAGATTTTTTTGGTCTTTTTGAGACAGGGTCTCCCCTGTAGCCTCGGCTGGCCTGGTACTTGCTCTGTAGACCAGGTTGGCCTTGAACTCAGAGTTTGCCTGCCTCTGCCTTCTGAGTCCTGGGATCAAAGGCGTGCGCCACCACGCCCGACTACACGTTAACTTTTTAAAAAACATTTTTAAATACATAATTTTATTTTTACATGTATGAGTATTATGCCTGCATGTGTGTTAAGTGCACCTGTGCCTTTGGAGGATAAAAGAGAGCACCAGATCACCCGGAACTGAGTTACGGATGGTTGTTAGCCGCCATGTGGGTGCTGGGATCAGAACTTGGGTCTTCTGCAAGAACAGTCAGTGCTCAAACACTGAGCCATCTCTCCAGCCCCCAAAATGGTAGTGCATGCCTTTAATCCCAGCACTTGGGAGGCAGAGGCAGGCAGATCTTTGAGACTGAGGCCAGCCTGGTCTACATAGCAAGATCCAGGCCAGCTGGGGCTACAGGGAGACCCTGTCTCAAACAAACCAAAAAAAAAGTAAAATCTAGGATGTGTGATGTATGTGTATATCTGTTTGAGTATGTCACATGTGTGGATACCCAAGGAGGACAGAAGAAGGCATCAGATCCCCTGGAGCAGGAGTTAGAGACAACTGTGAGCCATCTGACATGGGTGCTAGAACCAACAGGACCTCTGGAAAAGCAGCAAGTGCTCTTAACTGCTAAGCCATCTCTCTAGTCCTAGATTTTCCTTTTTTTTACTTTTTTGGTTTGTTTGAGACAGGGTCTCCCTGTAGCCCCAGCTGGCCTGGAACTTGCTATGTAGACCAGGCTGGCCTCAATCTGAGAGATCTGCCTGCCTCTGCCTCTCAAGTGCTGGGATTAAAGGCGTACACCACCATGCCCGGCCTTATCTTCCCATTTTATAGAAAAACAATAAAGTTTCATTGTCCTTATTGTCACAAAGGTGATGTGTTTTGGAATCAGCTTAATAAATACACCACACTGATTCCTGAACTCAAAACAAGTGGTTCTCAAACTATCTACTAGAACTACTTGGTTAAAATAGGAATGCTTGGTTAAAACAGAGATTCCTAAATTCTACCCAGATGGATCCAGTATGCCTGAGATAAGGATCTGCCATGAGATTTCCCCAAGGTGAAATCACTATGATGCCCAGGAACAAGGCCAAGGAGAGGCAGCATATGGATAAAACTGTAAATAAAGCCCTGAGGGGGAGTGAAGACTCCACAGATAGTATGGGATAAAGGGGAATTTACCCACTCACCATATATGGTAGGGAAAAGGCAAAGCCTGAGAGCAGGGCTAAGGAGAAACAGCTGCAAATTTTGTCAGTTAACTCCAAGCATAGAAATTTGCTGCTTTCAATTTCACCTCTAAGAGGAGAGGTTTGGGATGTTAAGTAGGTCAGAAAAAGAGCAGAATGGGCTGAGAGACTGCTTGATCCTGACTGGCACCAAGAATGTGTGTGTACATACTCATGCACCTCCCTCCCACCTCATTAAGGCCCACCGGTTGATTTTTTTTTAATGCAGTTGAGAAGAAATTGGTACATTTACTGTGAGACAAAAAAATCAGACTTCTTGCCTTAGCAAGAACCCCTTCTGCCCTCACCCAAGGAAATATAGTGCCATAATATGGCATTTATTTTGACCCAGAAAGGATACCAAGCTAACTCACCTCCTTGCAGCGCATCCTTCGGCTGGACATCTTGAAATAATATTCACTTAGGCCATCTGGGCTCAGTGGGTCATGAGAGCAAGCCTGAAGCAAGGCCCGGACAGACTTCTCTAGTTCAAACACCAGGTACACATATCCTATTCCCAACAAGAGGAAAAGAAGCCTTAACATCCTTCAGGTGGCTACTCTTCAGCAACAGCTTTGCAACAGACAGGGAGTTTCTTTCAAGGGAAGAGGCCTCAAGTATAAGACATAGTTGTGGTTTTTTTTGGGGGGGGGCGGTATGAGTGCTGGGGATTGGACCCAGAGTTTCGTGCACACTAAGCAAGCACGCTACCACTAAGCCGAATCCCTCAGCCAAAGGTACATTTTTATTTTACTCCTGAAAAGCACTGAATGCAAGCACTTGATATACCTTATGCCCAGGGTCAAGGGAGAGAAATGCACACGATGGACCACTCTGGTAAGGGAAGGAACTGTCAATCTGGGACAGAAGATCCCACAACTACCATGCAGCTTTCTACCTCAGAACACAGAGTATGCTTAGATCACCAGAGGCTAGGAGGCAGAGCAGATTTGTGGCCAGTTTGCCAGGAGATGCAGGTATTGCTTTAAAAGCCTAATTAAGGGGTTGGGGATTTAGCTTAGTGGTAGAGTGCTTGCCTAGCAACCACAAGGCCCTGGGTTCAGTCCTCAGCTCCAAAAAAAAAGGTCTAATTAAACCATTTGGTTCAGTTCAGTAGTTCAGTGAAGATGGGGCAGAGTGAAAATAGCACCTGCTCCTTTCTACAGGGATCTCATTTCAGACCAGCAAGGAATCAGATACTTGGTCCTCATTTCTGCCAACACCAAAGGGAATCTCAGAATTGGGTCAGGTAATAATGTAACTGGGCAGCAAAGGCAGGCAAGGGAAAGCTCTTGAAACACCTTATTCAAGAGGGAAGGCACTGCTGGGGTTTGTGGATGAGGGAAGTGCACAGGAAGGGGTCTGGTGGCAGTTCCCACTGCACTGTAAGTTTGGACATATGGAACTCAAGAAAACAAATGTGTAAAGTAGTAGAGGAAGTGCTGACTGCACCCTGTAGTGCCCACTGTTACCAGCATGCGTTTGTGACATCCCAGCACCACGTGTGCAGTATATATGAGGGAGAGGGAAAAAAAGTTCCTACCATGTCTTTATTACCTTTAGGCATATTACCTTTGGGAGGACACCGGGGGTGCTTGCCATCCTTACCAGGCCACTCCACACTCAGAGAGCCAAAAACACGGAAGGTGTTAACCAATCCAGCTGTATAGGTAGGAAAGAACAGGAGAAGCTGACACAGTACATTCAGGAAAGGCACAAGCAGAGTACTCCCTTCTAAGGCTCATTGCTCCTGACAACTCAGAACTGACTTCTGGTCTCAGGTGTAAGCACCAGACACAGAAGCGCTATGGGAACTTATGAAATGCACCTGTCCTCTCGGCTGCTCCTGTAAATACCCTGTGCTACAGTAGAGATTTGGACCCTGGCCTGAAACCTAAAATTCATTTTCTTGAAAGACATGCCCCTACCTCAGCTCTTGTAGTGGGAGATCTCAGAGGCAGCTTACCTTCCGTAATATCCCAAGGAACACCTCCTAGGAACACCTTGCAAGAGTAGATGGGGTTCTTATAGTTCCGGGGAGGGAGCTGGCCACTCCAGGTACAGGTGGCTTCATTCACAGCTTGGTAGCAGACAAAGGAAAAAATAAAACAAGGAGTCAGAGAATCAACAAAGTCACTATCCTTCCCTGGGATGAACTTGTTGGGAAGAAATAAATTGGTCACAATTCCAACCTGGCTGCCTGGGAGAATATCCACAAATATTCTGATATATAAAACATTTCAGCTAAATTTGATAATCTTACCATATCAGCTTTGTCCCCAATAAACTGAAAAAGGAAAACCAGATGCATAGGGTAAAAATTATCACAAACCATTTTCAACTATATAACAGATATATTATCCACGAAGCAATTTATCTTGCTATTGCTTATAATACTAAGTAAATTAATAAATAACTGAAAGAAGATAGAACAATTTTTTAAATAATTTATTGACAATTTCATACAGGCATATAAGCATATAAGGTGTTTTGATCAAATCCATGCCCATTCCCTCCCCTCCAACTCCTCCCATATCTCCCCATCACTTTTTTCTGATAATGTCATGTATTTTTTTTTTTATGGGGCTTTTTGCTACTCTAACATTCCCGCCTCTGAAGAGGTAACCCTAAAATCTTTTTAGGATTAGATAAGAGCTCCCAAATACTTTCCACATTTTTGGACTTTGGAGCAGAGTATGTTGCTAAGAGGTCCAAGGACATTTTGACTTTTAGCCAAGAAATTGGCTACTTTTCTTGGGGGGTCTTTTTACACTAACTGCCTAGTCAATTCCTACCTCCTCTTCTTATCACACCATTCTCTGAAGAGGTTACCCAACTTGCAGATAGGCAATCAGGATGCAGACATGGCTCTGGCTAAGACAGAACAATTTTATATACAATGTTGTCCCCTAAGGCTTCTGACCCCAAGGTGAAAAAGGAACATTATACACTCTTTCCTACCTTGGTTCTTAACTCATCAATAGAAGTCAAGACACAGTCAAAAGAAGTCACCACTCAACAAGACAGGAATATCACAACTACTCCCTGAATCAGAATCATGTCCCATAACTACCCCCACAAACACCTGGACAGAGCTTTCCTTGCTGCCTACACTTATGATGATGGACTTGCCCACAAGCCCTCAGCTTCTCATTTATGTCAAATCCAAATATATTAAGAGGCCCTTTCCTGTTGCATAGATTTGAAACTATCTTCAGATTGGTCTGGCACTGAAAATTTCAAAAGGCCTATGCTTGTTGACCAATCCAGGTTTTTCACATTAGAAGCTAACCTAGATGGGGCCTGTCTAGTCATTTTACCTTCTTCCTTCGGCACTGAGGAAGACATCCAAAGAAATGAACCATCATTTCATTTAGGATATGAGGCTATCCCCTAAAAGGCACAGGCCTAATGTGCTTTTTAGGATTTGGCACTGTTAGTATTTTATGATAAAAACAGAAAGCCTTAGGGCTAGGGAGATGGCTCAGCAGTTAAGAACACTGGTTGTAGCCGGGTGTGGTGGCTCATGCCTTTAATCCCAGCACTTGGGAGACAGGCAAGGGGATCTCTGTGAGTTCAAGGCCAGCCTGGTCTACATAGCGAGATCCAGGCCAGCTGGGGCTACAGGGAGACCCTGTCTCAAAAAGAGAAAAACCAAAAAACAAAAAAACCACACTGGTTGTTCTTGCAGAAGAGCCGGGTTCAAATCCCAGTACCCACATGGCAGTTAACAACTCTCCATAACTCCAGTCCCAGGGGATCCAATAGCCTCTTCTGACCTCCGAGGGCATTGCACGACACAGGTGCACTTTCCTACATGCAGGCAATACACCCATACACATAAAATAAAAATATTAAAAAAAAACAGCCTCCTCCAAAAGCATACTGAACAATGGCACTAGCAGAAAAGCAGAAAGGTGGGCTGCCAAAACCATTAGATGAACAGGACAGCACTCTTAGGGGAAAACAAGACAGGGACTAGCTCTATGAGTAGAAGGAAAACTGAAGTCCTCAGAAACAAATTTAACACAGAAACATTCACTTAGGCAGGTACTAGGCCTCAGACCTGTGTTGATGAACATGGCCCTGAAGCATTGGTAGTAAATAGTAGCTCCTTTACCTCCAAGCTCAGGCATAAGATGAAAAACAGATTTAATATGCTCTTAAGGACATTTAAATGATTAAATCTAGGGCTTCTGAGAGATCAGAGGACTTGGTGACACCCCATACCTTAGATTGTAACAGTTTAACAACCCACCCTGGGTGTATCCTTAGGTGTCCCAATCAGAAAAGCTCAGGACAGAAAACTCCACAATGGGCTGTGACTGATATGCTTATGAATTAGAGGGAAGGCAGACAAAATTGTAGGCATCATTTCTAGGGTTTGTCTTGCTCATGGAAGAATCAAAAGCAAAGGCAGCATAGAGCCAATCTTCGTGGAAGCCCACAGTGAGAAGTGGAGCCAACCTTCTCTGTTGTGGCACAGCCTGTTACCAGGTTATCTGTCTCTTTCCACTCAGTCTCCAGGTTGTTCTTTACAGAACAGATTGTTTTTTACAGACTTGGAAATTTTACCATGTAACAAAACCCTCTTTTAGAGAGCTCACCACTTTGTGAACGAAGGTCACTTCTTTTCCATTTCCAGAAAGAGGTCTCAGGTCTCCCCACACAAGCCACACTCACCTGCAGCTTGCCGGTGTAGTCTAGCTTCTCTTTCTATGCTGAAAGGGTCTTTGGGAGCTTCGAGGAGGTCCCAGGATGGCCACACAGAAGCTCCTGGCCATCTCTTTGAAGCACTGGTTGGGGAGGGAGTAACTGCAGCAAGAGCAGCTTGTTCTTGATCCATCCGGGATCCAACTCCCATCTTTAGAGGGTCTCTGCCACCGCCCGTCAGAGATAGGAAGGGCAAAGGAGGGGAAATTCGAAGGCTTGACTAGGAGAGGAAAAAGGAAGACACAAGATTTTAAAGAACAGTTTTGTTATAAAGTAATAATCATACAACAGAAATTACGAAAATGCCTAACATAAATTTATAATTTGATATATTTTCTTTTAGTGTGTCTTTCTATGCATTTTTGGTGGTTTTTTTGAGACAGGATCTCCCTGTAGCCACAGTTGGCCTTGAACTTGCTATGTAGACCAGGCTGGCCCTGATCTCAGAGATCCATCTGCCTCTGCCTCCCAGAATGCTGGGATTAAACATGTGTACCACCATGCCCAGCTCTTCCTATGCATTTAAAAAATTCATTATAGGTTACCTTGTAATTTAAATGAATTCTGTCTCTCCACACGGAAATTTTTTTCCAAATAAGATATATTGCCAGATAGCTTTCATAACTGTTTTAGTGAATTTATTACATTGTATTTATACCAGCTACATCTCACTGATCCAATCCCCTACTGCTAAACTTTTTAGAAACATTTTTTGATTTATTTTAATTCTATGTGTATGAGTGTATTGCCTGCATGTATATAAATGTACCCTTGTTGTGCAAAGCCCGAAGAGGACAGAAGGTGCTGGGTTTCCTGGAATTGGAGTTACAGATGGTTGTTAGCCACCATGTAGGTACTGAGAATCCAACCTAGGTCCTCTGAAAGGACAGAGAGTGATCTTAACTGTAGAGCCAGCTCTCTAGCCCCCCTAAACTTTTTTTTTTTTTTTTAAATAAAACAAAACAGGATCTTACTATGTTCCTCAGGCTGGACTTAAGCTCCCATTCCTCCTGCCTCTTGGGATTACAGTGTGACACTACAGCTGATGCTGGTAAACATTTAAAGGTTCTTAATGTTTTTAGAATCATAGACATAGTTTCTTCATATTTATGTTTTCTTTGGTCAAGTCTTTAGAAGTAGAAAGCCAAAGTACTTTCTATGAGAGCCATGTGCTCTATTAGAAATATATGGGAACACCAGTTATATTTATGTATCTGTGTTAAAGCTTGAAATTCTAACTTGTTAAAATGATATATTATTAAAATTGGTTGACAGAATATTTTCTGCAAATTAAAAAACTGTCCCACTTCCTCTCCTGTGTTAGCACTGTCTCCTCCCAAGTTAATCCTTAAGTGGGTATCTGAGAAAATTATATTAATCACTCATGACGTAAATCCCCATGATCGTTTCCATCTCAGGTAATGTACACAGAACAAGTACCTCATGTGACCTACCTTATCTTACAGGGGTGTAACCTGCAGCCCAAAGACATACAGGGATCTGATTGTCATTGTCTTTATAGAAACCCAGTCTGAACAGATGAAATCAATGGGCAGCAGGAATGTTAATGCCAGCTTTTGCAGTCTAGGACTGGCAGAGAAGACAGGGTGGGCTCTAAAAGTCATGTATAGGAAACCATGAAGACAAGGGGATGAGAAAATGAGCCATCCCATTCATTAAACATTCCACCTAGGGCATTTGCAATAGAAAAGCAAGGCTGAGATTCACGTTAAGGTGTATTTGATCTCAGGAAGATGTTTAATTGCCTCCTTCTCCTTGGAGACTCATCTGTTTTCACTTCTATCCCCTAACTACACTGCCTATGCTGTTCCATATATACCATATCTGCCATCTTCACCACCTATCCTAATCCATTTTCTAACTCTAAGCATGGGAGACTGCACAATCATACATGGTTGTAGATATTTGTAGATAAGGAACAGGGGAAATACCAATTTCACTATAGCTTCTGATTGTGAGTTGGCATGTGTCAGTGCAAAAGTAAAAGAGCTAGGGTCAGATTTGGATTAAAATTCTGGTACTTAAATTATTAAGGTCACTTATTAAATTACAACATATAAATTTTGAGATACTATACATAGTGGTTTATAAATGATATGGTTTAAAGGCTAAAAAGAAAACATCCATGTAGTTCAAGAAACAAATAATGCCAAGATTCTTCTGAAATCAAAATTACAAATATTACAAATATTTACTTCTGAAATCAACTGTTTTCTAACAGCTCTTAGATTAACAAGTATAAAGAGCCCAGGTCCTGAAAATGTATTGCTCATGGATATTCAAAGTGCCCTCACTTCTGTTGAAGATGAATGGCTCTATAGAGGTGCTTGATGAGCTCCCCTTCTGCCATCATCCCCTCCTTCCAGTCTACATCCTAGTTAATAAAGGCATTTCAAGCTCTAAAACAGATACTACATCCTCCTTCCCTTAGGACACCCTCCCCACTTCCTGAATGTTACATACAATCAAATCTGAGAGATGATCTGATCCAGAGCTGAAGCCACTCGTGTCTGAGTCAGAGGGGCTGCTAGAACGGGAGTCCAGGATGGGCCGAGTGTCCAGGCGGGATCCTCTAACTGAGGGTGCTGGAAATTTGTCCAAGTCAGACCCAAGGGGATCCAGAGGCAGGAAGCTCAAGGGGGTTTTTCCTAGGACATTTCCCATTGGATTTTGGAACATGTTCAATACTAGGATGACAAAAAGAAAAAAGGAAACCCCATGACCTCTTTTCTTTTCAGATAAGCGTCCTCTTTTCTCCCAGTCACCCCAGGCAGGGATCTCTGAAAGCATTTCAGAAACACAGAACATAATGTATACATAGCCAATGATTTTGGAGACCTGGCTACCCAGGCTTTATTAGAGAAAGTTATAGGATGACTGAAGACCACAGTTCTTGTTATTAGAAAGGCAGCAAAACTCCTGTTCTCTGCCACCAGGCTTAAGGGGTAATGCCATCATCTTGGGAAACTATGTCACTGGGGACCCTGGTCACAGCTGTTCTTAATGTCTGAATGCACCTGCAGCATAATTAGGACGCCCAAACCATACTCCTTTATTGCTTGCCAGTGTGTTTATGAGATTTCTACTTTTTTAATGCTGTTTTGCTAAAACACAATATTGCATGCAACACACCACAAGGTTAATATAGCATAAGCATATCGCCTCATCCTGGGACATCTTCCTTCTGGCATGTACAAATCTATGCAGCCCTGAATTTCACAGCTGGGCATGGTGGCACATGCCTGTAGTCCCAGCACTTGGGGGGCAGAAGCAGCCAGATCTCTGTGAGTTCAAGGCCAGCCTGGTCTACATAGTGAGTTCCAGGCCAGCTGGGGCTACAGGGAGACCCCGTTTCAAAAAGACCAAAAAACAAACAAAAAACCCCCACAAATCTATGCATCCCTGAATTTCAAATATTTAGGACGGAAGCTGAATGACCTCAAAGTTCACTATCTGGGGAAACAAACCTGGTATGAAACCCCTGGTCTGACACTTCCATCAGATGGCTATGAGCTCTGAGACACTCATTCAGCTTTTTTGAGCCTCTTTCTTCTCATTGGCCTCTTGGGTAAAATATCAAATATTTCATAACATTGCTAGGAGGGCCCAATAATTATATGGCAGATGAAATGTGCTCAGCAGAAAATTTCTAGCACATAATAAATATCATCAAAAAAGAATAGCCAGATGTGGTACAGCATGCCCATAAACACCTGGGGAGGCTGAGGCAGGAGGACTGCAAATTCCAGGAGAGCCAGAGAGACATAGCTACACTGTTTAAAAAAAAAAAAAAAGGAAAAAAAGGAAACAAGGGACGTGAGAGAAGCAGAGTCTTCATCCATAAGGGCTATGGGGCTACGGACACATGGTTAGAGTAGAAGCTTTAAATAGATTTTTTTTTAAATCTTTTTAAGACAGGGTCTCCCTGTAGCCCCAGTTGGCCCAGAACTCACTCTGTAGACCAGGCTTGCCTTGAACTCATAGAGATCTACCTGCCTCTGTCTCCTGAGTGCTGGGATTAAAGGCATGCACCACCATGCCTAGCTTAAATAGGTATTTTATTCATCTGAAGAATAGAGAAATCATCTACTTCCTAATAGCTGTAAGCTAGATACAAATAATGTAAGTACTCAATCAACAGTGACTATAAATGACTTCAGCCCTGACTAGAAATTAAGTGAAACACAGGCTACCCAGAGCTGGTTTCCTCCCAGGTTTTCAAGTGGCAGGAATAAACCTCTCCAAGTCTGGAATCAAAGTCAAGGCAATCTCAGGGTACTAGACAACTGCCATTCATGACAGAACATATGCACAAGATCCCAAACAACTGTTACCATGAGATTAGATCAGCCTACTCTTCCTCAAGCACATGACCTCCCTTTCCAGATAAAGACACAGTAAAAGTGTATGTATCCTAAACCTTTTCTAAATGCAGGTGATACTGTGGATATATTTATCCAATTATTATTCTATAGCAGTAAAAATATATATATTTTTTGAGATAGGGTCTCCCTGTAGTCCCAGATGGCCTGGAACTTAATAGGTAGACCAGACTGGCCTTAAATTCATGGTGATCTGCCTGCCTCTGCCTCCTGAGTGCTGGGATTAAAGTGCCACCATACCTGGCCCAGCAGTTAAAATTCTTTAAAAAAAAATTGCTATTTCCACTCAGCAATGATAAATTTAGTCCCTTTACATCTTGGCCAATACCTGGTATGATAAGTCTTTTATTATCACTATTGTTATTATTATTATTTGCTGTTATTTTGTGTGTATGCATGCCATGGCACACAAATGGAGGTCTGAGGAGAACTTTGTGGAGTTGATTCTCTCCTTCCACCTTTACAGGCTATTCTGAGATTGAACTCAGGTTGCCAGGCTTGGACAACAAGCACCTTTTATCAATTGAGCCATTTTGCCAGTCTGTATACGTTTTTAAATTTTTAGGCTGTAATAATATCTATGGGGACAGGGGAGACAAGCCATAACTATAAAGAAGTTAATTTACTATTTTGCTTTTCATATTCTTTTACCTAGGCCTGTTTTTTTTAAGACAGGGTCTCCCCCATAGCCCCAACTGGCCTGGAACTCATTATGTAGACCAAGCTGGCCTTGAACTCACAGGGATACACCTGCCTCTGCTTCCTGAGTGCTGGGACTAAAGGTGTACGCCATCATGTCCGACTACCTAGGCCTTTCAAAGTGATTTTCAAATACTATCACTTAACTGCATGCTAGAAATAAACATTTCAAAATGCTTGTATTCTAATACCCCTCACAAACAATACTTGACAAATTTCTCAAGTAATACTTGTCTTGTCCAACCCATACCTGAAATAAATGAAAAACCAAAGCCCCTAAGCCTATGCTTTCTTTGAGAAGGCAGGAGATGAGCAAGTTTCCTCCCTCATGGTGCAAAACCTGGCCAAATAGTAAGAACCCACAAATCATATGCAACAGTACCAGCCAGCCACGCAGGATATGCCCATGGAACAGTAGTGGCAAGGGTGCTATGAGGTAAACAACCAGTTCTGACTGATGTGATGCCTGCTCCATAGAAGGGAATTCATACTTAATACTGTAAATATAGTCAAAAGCCTATGGCCAGAGAGGTCATAGGCTCTACTGGAGGAAGCCACTGCTTTTGTTTTACTAAGTGGATAATATGTGTTCATCAAATTACCCTCTAAATAACTGTATATGCCCACAGATTAGTGCTACTCTAAGCTTTTGTCAGAGCAGTTTCTTTCTGCAGTAGTTACTAGGTGACTGCAGAGACTCATGACTGGTAAAAAGCTGAGAATAAATGACTGTTGAGTGATCAGCCCTAAAAGGGGCAGCTCTATCAACTCTCCTTCAGTTTCAGTGAGCAGCACAGCAAAGAGGATGAAAAGAATTTAGGAACTTGATGAAGGGAAGAGAGTAGCAGTAAGGAATGCCAATTTTGGGGCATGACATGGTTGCTGCACTCTTTTTTTTTTTTTTTTGGTCTTTTTGAGACAGGGTCTCCCTGTAGCTCCAGCTGGCCTGGAACTCACTATGTAGACCAGGCTGGCCTTGAACTCTCAAGAGATCCGCCTGACTCTGCCTCCCGAGTGCTGGGATTAAAGGGATGCGCCACTATGCCTGGCGGTTGCTGTGCTCTTAAACTCACAGCAGCTGTGATGAAATGTGTAACATTGGGTCCACCAACACCCTTAGATGGGAGAGAGCTTCATGGGCCTCACCCTTCTCTGAGAATTTTTATGAAGTTGATGGGGGAGGGAGAGGCATTTTTTTTCAGGGATATAGCCATGCTCTTGTGAACCAACACTTTACCCATAGTCCTGTAAACTACCTGATGAAACTCATTAATGCCAAGCCCCCCAGCCCAACACACACAAAATTTTGGTTAGTTGGGAAGAGGAAGTAGAGTCGATCAAAGGAAGGGGGTTTGATGAATATGACTGAAATACATTGTATACATGTATGAAAGTGTAATGAAACAATTATACATGATTAATATGTGCTAATAAAATATTGTGGAAAAACAAAAGCCTTTGGCTAAAGCAGAAGTTAGAAGGAGCACATAGTGAAAAAAACAAGATCAGGAGCAGTTTAATACTGAAATAGGAGTTTCAAGTAGCATACACAACTCTGAGAGCTGTCAAGGGAGACATGGGAACTCAGGTTCCTAGAAAAAACAAACAAACTGCATTTACTTGTGTTAAAGAATCTACAAGGTTGATTGACCAATTAGAACTTCTGTGATTATAGGAAGTTGGAATGCTGCAGGTCCAGAGCCAAATTATCTTGGGCTATCTTTAGTACCCTTAAGAGTCGTTTATTACTCATCTCTGTGTTTGATCCTATGACCATCAGGGTAAAATCCTTCTGAGGGAGTGGGGAACTGAAGAGATGACTCAGTGGTTAAGGGCACTTGCTGCTCTTGCAGACCCACAACTGGTGGTTCCTATAACTCCAGTTCTAGGGGATCTGATACTCTCTTCTTGCCTCCAAAGGCACATGCAAACATACATACACATATAATAATAAAAAAAATCTTTTAAAAAAATCCTTTTGTGGA